TACGTTACGTAACGTACGTACGTTACGTACGTTACGTTACGTTACGTTACGTTACGTTACGTTACGTTACGTTACGTACGTACGTACTACGTACTCTCTCTCTCTCTCTCTCTCTCTCTCTCTCTCTCTCTCTCTCTCTCTCTCTCTCTCTCTCTCTCTCTCACACACACACACACACACACACACACAGGAGTTGGTGGGTGTTTTCTAAGTTGGCCAACAAAACTGGCTAATTCCCGATGATTTTAGTTTATGAACTGTTGCCTCCTAGTTTTGATCTCTGGTGATTTCTATGTTGTCCAACAAAACTGGCTAATTCCAATGATTTTAGTTTATGAGATATTCCTGTTGCCTCCTAGTTTTGATCTCTCTCTCTCATGTGTAATTGGAAGGTGAGAGTAAAAAGCTTTACGTGGAATATGCTAAAATTGTGGGATGATTTTTGCAGGCTACGAACACATGCGTGCATAGAACCATTCATTTTGGCCGCCCACCGCAAAATGAGCGAGATGCACCCCATATTCAAGCTCCTACATCCACACATGCGCTATACACTTGAGATCAATGCGCTCGCTCGCCAGACCCTAATCAATGCAGGTGGTGTGATCGAGTCATGCTTTACTCCTGGTCAATATTGTATGGAGTTGAGTGTAGAGGCCTACCGAAACCATTGGAGAATCGACCAAGAAGGCTTGCCCACTGATCTTATCAGAAGGTTCATCTCTCTCTTTGTCTCTCTCTCTTTCTCTCTCGCAAAACCCATCATTCTCCCTGGACATCAGAGTGTCTCTCTCTGTCAAAACCCATCATCCTTCCTAGATTTCAGGCACATGAGTTTTCCTAATGATTGAAATTATTAAAATTTTGAAAGAATAGCTTTTTCATACTGTTAAAACTCATTTTTGAGTAAAATGACTAAATTAGCTGTAGGGTATCATGATAGAAAGCTCAAAAATGACTTCAACCATAAATGTTTATTGTATCTATACTGATACAAAGTACACATAGAGCATGGCTACAAAATAACTAATATGCATCTGTGGGTACTATACAAAAAAAAGGACAAAAAATGACTTCAATTTTCCTTGTACTATAACAAGTAACACAATATCTTTATGTACAAAACTACCAACAAAATGTATTTCAATTCTGAACCCCTCATATTCCAAAATTTGACCTTTTTTAAATTAAAATTTTTGTTCTAGTTTTGATTTATGATGAATCTAAACTGGAGAGCTCTGCTACCCACTTGTACAGGGGAATGGCAGTGAAGGACCCCTCCCAGCGCCACGGCCTCCGGCTCCTCATCGAGGACTACCCCTACGCGACTGACGGCCTTCTCCTATGGTCCGCCATCGAATCCTACGTCAAAGAGTATGTCTCATTCTACTACCCCAACCCTGCATCAGTCCTCTTTGACACAGAGCTCCAATCGTGGTACTCTGAGGCCAAGAATGTAGGCCATGCAGACCTCTCAGAAGAGCCATGGTGGCCCAGCCTCACCTCTCCTGCTCGACTTGTCTCTCTTCTCACCACCCTCATTTGGCTTGCCTCCGCCCAACATGCAGCACTAAATTTTGGCCAGTACCCCTATGGGGGTTACGTACCCAACCGCCCCCCCTTAATGCGTAGACATGTTCCAGACCCTAAAGACCCTGAGTACCTGTGCTTTGTCTCTGACCCACAAAAATATTTTTTGTCGGCCTTGCCTAACTTGCTTCAATCTACTAATTTTATGGCTGTGGTAGATACCTTGTCAACCCATTCAGCCGACGAGGAGTATTTGGGCCAGCGCCAGCTCCAGGGTCTTTGGTCCGGTGACCCTCGGGCTTTTGACGCATATAGGAAATTCTCCGCAGAGGTGCAGAGAGTGGAGAGGGTGATACAAGAGAGGAATGCTGACATGAGATTCCCAAACCGGTGCGGGGCTGGAGTTTTGCCCTACGAGCTTCTCATACCGAGCTCAGGGCCTGGGGCCACAGGTCGGGGTGTGCCAAATAGTGTGTCTATATGAGGGGATCGTATGTTAGTTGCTCTTGTATAATGTATAGATAGAGGGGTGATTCATTATGGTAAATATGGCTAATTGTAGTGATTATTTATTCACAAGGTGTTGGTGGCTTGGCAAAAGACCAATTCACTCTTGTTAAAAGATGTATATCTAATTGTAGGATCTTGAAAGTCAGTTATAATTGAATCAAAAGAGTTTCACATTCTTGTTATTAGTTGCCCCAAAACTCATGTTCTTTTCTTGTTTCCTCTCTCTCTTGTTAAACAATGTATATCTAATTGTAGGATCTATTTATTGAAAGTCGGTTATAATTGAATCAAAAGAGTTTCACATTCTTGTTATTAGTTGTCCCTAAACTCATGTTCTTTTCTTGTTTCCTCTAATCTCTCTCTAACTCTCTTTGCAAATGCTGCCTTAATTTGTCACCCTATTTGGGCCTTGTTAAATAAATTTGTTATTTTAATTACATGCCAGTAACCCTTTCACCAATGTCCTAATTTCTTTATAAACCCATTCCTTAGTATCCTTAGATTTGAGTCTCATGTTCATTCATTTGGGCTTTACTTCTAAAGGACTTAAAAACCACCCGTGGGCTGGTGGGGTGTTGGGGTTAGAAGAAGGGAGGTCTCTTGCTTATTTTTAGAGAGAGAGAGAGAGAGGATGGCTAGAAGTTTAGTGGGGTTGTATTGGATGGTTCTTGTTACACTTTGCAATTTGAAAGTGGGAAATGGAACGGTTGCATATGGCGTAGGAAATGAAGGTCATATGGATTCAAAGGGAAGAACAGTAATCAATGTGAAATCCTATGGAGCAGTTGGTGATGGAATAACAGATGATACAAAGGTCCTCTCTCTCCATTTGCTTTTTATAATAAATTAGGGAAATTTGTCAACTTACTCATGAAAAGCAAATTAGATCAGGGAATTTGTCAACTTACTCATGATAAGCAAATTAGATCAGGGAAATTTGCCAAATTACCTATAAGAGGGATGTTTAAACACTTAAGAACCATATATTTTGATTCTATTTAAAAATACCAATAAAAAAACACATGGTCTTCACTTTGAATAGTTGCATATATATATATATATACAATGAGACTTTTTGTCTTTGGTACAATATTCACAATTAATTTTTACTATTGGATGTGAAATTTTTGTCTTTGGTACAATATTCACAATTAATTTTTACTATTGGATGTGAAATTAGATGGCTGCTTTTATTCCATTGACCAAACTTAAACTTCCAAAAGAATTTCATTAAACTTTATGATATACCTATGCTATCAGATTTCACATTGGACGGTTGTAAATAATTGTGACCTCTTTGTATCAAATGTAAATAGTCTCATTATATATAATCCCAATATTAAATACTTCATCGGTACTGGATACTTTTGATAAATTTCCCTGATAATTACTGGTTTCGGTCCTCTCCCTACCCATTTGTTTTTTATAATGATTTGAAACTCTCCTTGATTTTGGTCTCCCCCCTGGCGGTCCCTCCTTTTGCTTCTTATAATTATTTGCGTCTCTCTCCCTCATTTGCTTTCTTTAATTATTGCAACCCTCATTGGTTTTAGCCTACTTTTGGAAAGCCATGCTTTCAAACTTGGAATGAGAAGTCAATAGTTTTAAGATTAGGCAGAAACCAGAGCCTAAAGATTAGAAAACAGCCCCATGAATTCTAGCAATCTTCCCCCTTTTCTTTGTAAAGAAGAGAAAGAAAAGCCTTCTGCCTAACTCTTGAATTATACAACTGGACAAATGTTCATAGTAGGGGGAAGCCGCTTTGCACTTGACTCAGTATGTCCAGATTCACCAGATTCACACCAGCAGATAGTTCCCCCACCTATTAAACCAATCTCTCTCTCTTCCACTATGATTCAAACATAACCATCTCTTCCCCACCTATTAAACCAATCTCTATCTCACTCTCTCTTCCATTTCAATATGCTATTTCCCCCAGCTGAACTGCATTTTGATAAAAATCTAGCTAACAAATGAATTAGACCTCTCTCTCTCATGCGCGCACACTCACAAAGAGGAAGTACAATGCCTTTGCCCCTAGCTAAACCCAGATCAATCAAAATCCCGAGTAATTAATGAATGAAACCTCTCTCTCAATCGATTTCAGATATTTGTAAGAATGAAACTCTAGATGTCATGTTGTCGCACTGGATTAGCTTGCCTTAGAGACTCTCTCTCTCTCCCCACATTATAGAAAGGCATATATGCCAATTTCCTTCTAGCTCGGTCCTATACCTATAGATCTCTCTCTCTCCACATTATAGGAAGGTATGTATATTGATTTCCCTCTAGCTAACAAATAAATGAGACCTCTTATGCACAGTAAATATAATGACCTAGCCCCTATCTAAACCCAATATCAATCCATTTCCCGAGTAATCAACGAATGATACCTCTCTCTCTCTCTCTCAATCCTGATTTCGGATCTTTGTAGGAATGAACCTCTAAAAGTCATGTTGTCGCACCTATTACCTTGTCCTAGAGGCTCTCTCTCCCCCTATCTTTCTCTCTCTCCACATTATAGAAAGGTATGTATGCTGATTTCCTTCAAGCTAGGTCCCATATCTATAGATCTCTCTCTCTCCACATTATAGAAAGGAATGTATGCTGATTTCCCTCTAGCTAACAAATAAATGAGACCTCTCTTTCATACATACACACACAGATAGAGCAACTACAATGAATTTTTTTTGGATAATTCAGTGGGAATGATGAATCCCTACTCATTTTTTGAAATCCTTAGTAGTTTTTTAATACGTTAGGTTAGAATGGAAATCTAGACCTTAGCTGGAGCACAAGTGATGTTACAACCACAATCACAACCCCAACTCCATTCTCGTAACTACTTTGCCCCTAGCTAAACCCTATATCAATCAAATTCCCTACTAACCAACGAACGAGGCCTCTCTCTCAATCTTAACTTTGGATCTTTGTAGGAATGAAACTCTAGATGTCATGTTGTTGTACCTGGTTACCTTGTCTTAGTCTCCCCCTGGCTCTCTCTCTCCCCACACATTACAGCAAGGTATGTATGCTGATTTCCCCCTAGCTAGGTCCCATACCTCTCTCTCTCTCTCTCTATATATATATATATATTATAGCAAGGTATGTATGTTGATGTCCCTCTATCTAACAAATGAATGAGACCTCTCTCTCATACACACACACAAAGAGTAAGTATAATAACTTTGCCCTTAACTAAACCCCATATCAATCAAAATCCCGAGTAACCAATAAATGAGACCTCTGTCTCTCTCTAAATCTTGATTTCGGATCTTTGAAGGAATGAAACTCTAGATATCATGTTGTTGTACTTGGTTACCTTGTCTTAGTCTCCCCTGTCTCTCTCTCTCCACATTATAGAAAGGTATGTGTGCTGATTTCCCTTTAGTTAGGTACCCTACCTATAGATCGATCTCTCTCTGTCTCTCCACATTAGAGCAAGGTATGTATGCTGATGTTCCTCTAGCTAACAAATGAATGAGTCATCTCTTTCATACGTACACATACACAAAGAGTAAGTACAATGATTTTGCCCTTAACTAAACCCCATATCAATCAAAATCCCGACTAACCAACGAATGAAACCTCTCTCTCTCAATCTTAACTTTGGATCTTTTTAGGAACGAAACTCTAGATGTCATGTTATCATAGCTAGTTACCTTAGATTTTTTTTTTCTCGCTCTCTCCCTCTCCCCATCCACATTATAGGAAGGTATGATTACTGATTTCCTTCCAGCTAGGTCCCATACCAATAGATCTCTCTAACCCATATCCCCCTAAGCCATAAGCGACTAACCCATATCTCATCATAGTAAGTTTTGACAAAATTTTTCATCGGCTACTTAACTGAGACAACACTCAGACATAAAATGGGTTAAGGGAAAGTTTAAAGCTATCACCCTTTCTTAGACCTTACTAACCCACATCTATAGAACACAAATATCTATAAAACATAAGTTCTCTCTGACTCTGGATAACTTCGGTATCTATAAAACACAAATATCTATAACTCTACTAACCGATATAGCCATAAGCCTCTCTCTCTCTCTGCTCTCTGTCTCTGTCTCACACTCAACATCTGTATTTATGCCAGGCCTTTTTAGATGCATGGGAGGCAGCCTGCTCCATTGAATCAGCAATCTTGCAAGTACCACGCACGAAAACTTTGGTGGTAAAACCCTCCACTTTCAAGGGACCATGTCAAATCAACATCACTCTGCTGGTAACATACCACAATACTTACACCACAATAACTTGTAGGAAAATATTATTAAAATAGTGAAACCTTATGAAAAAAATCACAAATTCGGTCAAATTAATTAATTAATTTTTTTTAGTTTTATCCTTAATAAGCACGAGTATTTTAATAAAATAGGGCAAATTACAGTACAATACAACTGTTTGTTTTGGACTGTCAACCCGAAATAAAAGTCAGATCATAAGAATACAGGTTCAATAATTGGAATATGATACAAGAGCATTGAAAAATTAGGGCTTGAGCCACAAAATTTGGCTTCGATAGTTTGACCGGGCTTTCGCCAAGGACATAATAGGGCCAAGCTCGGGTCATCTCTACAAGGACCTGAGCTCGGATCAGGCCAAGATTGGCCCAGCACATGCTGGGATAAGTATGTCCAATTCCATCATTTAATTCGACCTTAATAATGAAGGGCGCGATTTTTATAAGGTACAACCTTAAACAATCCAATTAAGGTACACCTCCAAATTTTATTTTAATTTGTGTAAATAATTTTTAAGATTATCTAAAAAAATATTTTTATCTCTAATAATAAAATTTTAAAATCCAAAAATGGTTAAAATCAAATAGATCAATAAACATATAAAAATCTTGACAATGGATGGTTTAGATAGTGTGTTGTAAGATGCACTATTTATGGGACTCAAATTTATTTATTTATTTTTTTTCATATTCATACATCTCGAAGTCAAGATGATCAATTAGAGGGTATTTCAACATTAAAACAACTTTTTCCGATGAATTTTTAATATGCATCTTCAATTCTACATTTTAAGGTTGCAACCTTGTTAAGCTTTTTCCTGCCTCAATGGTTTACATTTCATGTTCTAATAAGCCTGAATATAAAAAAAGTTTCATTTATCTCTCTCTCCTCTCATTGACATCTGCAAGCGAGTGTTAATTAAAGAGGTTGTATGCTACGAGATCATTTGCCTATAGTAAAATATCATAATTACCCCTAGTTATCATATGTAAAATTAAGTGGATGAAGCCTATAGTTCCTACGCACAAAGTTGAAAAATTCTCTTTTGCACTTCAAGCATAACCCATGGCAAATTTTAAGATTTAACGAATCCTAATAGATGTCCTAATACAAATTTTTAGGGGTGGCAATTGGGACCCATGGACCTAGGACCCGACGGGTATACCCGACCTTGGGTTTAGGTATGGGTCCAAGGATTGGACTTGACAAGTTGGATCAGGGTCCAATAGTCTAGACCCGATCCCCAACTAGGTAGTCCCTTCAAGTCCAAATCTGGGTCCGATCCAGGTAGTCTCTCTCTTTGTTTTTTGAAGTAGAAATACATTTTTTTTTCCTTTTGTAAAAATTGAATTTCAAGTTGGGTCTGGATCCCCCATAATTAATTCAAATCTAAGTCCGTGTCCCGGGACTTTGGACCTAGTTGGATCCAGACCCAAACCCGGACCAAGACCCTAGCCGTTGCCACCCCTTCACATTTTGTGAGAAAAGTCGTGGGTAAAGCTTTGATGAGCCTAGCACGCCGCTAGAAAGATGGTGATTAAATGTTGGTTAGTGTTTTCAGGTGGATGGTACTCTGGTTGCACCCAGTAATCTTGAGGATTGGGGCTCAGACAGGTACTGGCTAAAGTTTACTAATCTCAACCATTTCAAACTTAGGGGGAAAGGTACACTGAAGGCTCAGGGAAAACAGTGGTGGAACAAGTCATGTTCATATGTGAACAGTAAGGTACTCTTTCTCTGCTCATATGCAAAGAGTAAAGTGCTCTCTCCTCTCATGGTAAAAGTCGTGCTATACACCGGAACTCACATTGAATATGCAAAAGGTCACAAACACTTCAATCCATCACATGTAAAATCATATAACTGGAGTGACAATTCTCCAACTAAAGTTCAAAAAATATTTCTCGAACTTTTTTTACATTCAATGATGGAAAAATATTGAGACCATTTACTTTTGATACAAGATGATCACATTTAATTTTGACCATTAGATGTAAAATTGAATGGCTACAATTATTCTATTTATTAAGCTCAAACTACAAAATAAATGTTTTTGACCATCGTAACACACCTAAACTACCAGATTTCATATCACATGGTTATAAATAATTATGACGTTCTTCTATCAAAGGTAAATGGTCTCATTGTATACAATCCCCTCAATGATGCACCTTTAGCTATTTGATTATAACATCTAATGGCTAAGAGTGATTACGATACCTTTAGCTATTTGATTATAACATCCAATGATTAAAAGTGATTATGACTTTTTGTACCAAAGATAATAGTCTTATCATATAAGTCTATTGTGTGTATGCACGAGTAAATTCATGATTCAAAATCAAATACAACTAAGATTTTTATCTCATGTTGCAGAGAATTTGCGGCAATGCCCCTAATGTAAGTTTTTATTCTATGTTTAACTACCAAATGCTTGACATTAATTTTCAAAAAGCTCTCTCTCTCTCTCTCTTTCTCTCTGCATTTGCTTTACATCGAAAAACTCTCTCACTCTCTACAGGCCATAGCCTTCCAACACAGTGAGTACGTGCAAGTGAGAGACCTGAAGATCATGGACAGCCCCCGCTTCCATTTACATTTTCAAACGTGCAACCATGTTTATGCAATCAAAATTCAAATTACATCTCCACAAACAAGCCCAAACACAGATGGAATTCACCTTGAGAGGACACAAAATGCTCACATCTTAAACTCTACGATTGCAGCAGGTTTCAGTGACTTGTAACACTCACCCCAACAGTGATACATCATTCATATATTATATATGCAAAAGGCGTGCACACCCACACGCGCACACACATACATACATATATATATATACATATACATATATATATATATATATATATATATATATGAGCAAAACATAGAACTATAGCCATATCTAACTAACTTATTTATTCATCACATTCAGTAGGGTGCTTTTCTTTGTTTGCGAGGGGCAATGACAAGGGAAAACAATTATAAGCATGCAATTTTTAATCTCTTCCAACATATTTTAACTCTCTATGATTTATTTGTCATTGCCACATGAAAATGACAAAAAGCATCCCTACCAAAAGGTTATGGTCCGGATTAGAGGCTTCATTCTACATCGAGAAGGCTAGCACACCCCCTACAAACATATGGGATTGTGTGCAATGAAACTCTCGTCTTTTGGACACAAGGTCACAAACATCCCAATCCATTGGTTATCAGATCGGAAGGATGAGTGTTTCATTTCTTTGCACCACCAAGTCCATGAAAAATTATCTGACTTCAAGGACAATGGTACAACCCCAGCTGCCCAAATTCCCCGTCTAAAAGTTATGGGTGCTTGGGACATTTTCGTACTAAATGTAAAATAGTCTAATTGTATACTTTTTGGTAAATGTCTACACCATTGAAGCGTGGCGTATTTTTTTTCACTAAGCCTACTGCACTTACATGGTATACCACAAGGAAATCCACCATTTGTTGTGAACAACAGAGGAGATTAACCACCACCATATTCAGTCCACATCATTATAAACTACGGTTAATCTCCACCATCCATTGTCAGGAACTGACCGCGGATGCCTCTATGGTGCATCATAAATCATCAACTAGTAATCTATGATATGAGTCCCATATTCTATGATATAAGTTCCACACACAGACGCACACACACACACACAACCTTTGTATGAAATCACTCCCTCCCCACCCCCCCCCCACACAAAACACACATATGTTGTATGCATGTATTTATGTATGTATGGGTTGATAAAACATGGAACAAGCATTTCTGATGAAGAAAATGTATGCTGGTCTTTTGTTGCAGGGGATGATTGTGTTTCTATCGGTCATGGATCTTACAATGTGACTATATCAGGACTTACATGTGGTCCAGGGCATGGAATAAGGTTTGTGGCCATTGTATCTTCTCTTTCATGACTTTATCAGGCTGAGCTTGAGGCTTGATCTTTCAGTTGAGATTCTTTACAATAGTGCAGCATAGGCAGCTTGGGAAAGAAACATTCACTTGCCCAAGTTCACAATGTTGTGGTGGATGGGGCACTAATTACGGGAACAGAAAATGGCCTGCGAATCAAGACATGGCAGGTTAGTTCGTAGAGATTATTGGTGAGCAGTAGAGAATAATGAAAATAAAAAGAAAGATGACACTGCAGAAACATGGAGTTTGGGTTTCTGATGACACTGCAGAAACATGGAGTTTGGGTTTCTAGCTTTAGTTTGGAACTGTTTAGGCCTTGAGTTAGCTAGTTGTTAACTGTGGCACCAGAGAGGTCAAGAGTTTATTTCACTTTCCAACAATGATGAGGCAGCTCCATAAGAACCCATAAACTTACAGTAAGAAAAGAGAAAATGTAACAGGTATAATGGGCAAAGATAGGTGAATAATCGAGACTAAGTATAGTAAAGCTATCTCCTTATTTAAGTATTCAACCTAATAGCAAAGAACAAGAAAACCCTGGTATCTTATTTTTCATAAACTTGGAAAAAGATCTTGTCTCAGAATGTCTTTGCCTTTGGTTCCTATTAACTGAGGGTGAGATTGCTGCATGCAGGCTGCCAATGGGCCAGTCTCCAGCTGGGACAGACCTGGCCTAAATTTTTTGGCCATGCCCATCCCAGGTTCAAACATTTTTATCATGTTGAGGCCGAGGGCTGGGCTCAGCCAGGCCCAGTCCAGGTATGCATTGGTCCAGAATCGAACCCAGGATCAACCAAAAAAAAGTTTTCAAATTTTCAAATGTAAAAGAAAAACACTCTCTCTCTCTCTCTCTCAAAATCAAGCACACATACATGCCCCATTTCTATATTAAAATTAAGGAAACCCCTTTGTTTCCTATCTCCAGTCCCCTAGATTTAGTCCTTAGATAACAGAGGATAGACTATAAACAATAGACTGTAGACTATGGTCAATGGACTATATAAAGTTTATAGTCTATAAAGATTATAGAAAGGCTCATCATCATCATCACCCGAAGACTTACCTCAACTATTTGGATCAGCTACACGAATCATGTTCTGCCATTATGCTCTATCAAATGTCATACCATCAGTCAGACCATAAGTCACCATATCTCTACTTCCATTTTATGTCCTTTCGGGCCTTCCCCTTATCCCTTTAGAGGCTTCTATTTGAACTAAATCACCCCTCCTAATGGTATTGTATTAAGTCTACACCCCACATGGTCAATGCACCTAAACTTTCTATCAAATACCATATAAAGTTTATAGACTACAATCTTAAATACTTATAATGATTTATCGTTTATAGGCTATAAAAAATCTACTATAGACTATAGTATATGGCCTATATAAAGGTCATGGTGTGTGGAACATAAAGAAAATATCAATGAACAATGGATATGGTATAATGGACTATAGAATGAACAACTAGGCCCAGCCCAAACTATTTCAGGCATAGTATGCCTGGCACACTCCCAGGCCCCAGGCCATAGAGTGTGCCCCAAATCCGGCCCAAAGCCTGGCCCTGGCAGCAGACCTGCGGACCAGCCCAGCAAGCTTGGCAGCCCAACACAAATAGGGGATAACAGTCAGACATGGAGAGAGAGGTGCGTGATAGAGAGAGAGTCACATTATTTCATGATGCTACATGGACGTGGCATCAGCCATCGACTCCTATATAGTTTAGAAACAGAGCCAAGATCCTACACACATGTTTCTGCAGGATCAAAAACCAAAATCACCACAATAGGGAAACAGAAAATCAGGTCTCAGTTTATCGGTGCATTGTTAATTTGTTTTTCCTTATTTTAATAAAAGGTAAGGATTTCAAATCTATTTTTCATTGACACTTTTTAAGGTTTACTGTTAATTACGACAAGTTTTCAATTACTATGCAAGTTTAGAAGGGAGCTCACTCTTGCTTGTGGATTACCAGGGCGGATACGGGTGGGTGAGAGATATCGTCTTCAAGAACATAGTGATGATCAATGTTTCAAATCCAATTATAATAGACCAATATTACTGTGACTCGCCAGAGCCTTGTGCCAATTATGTAAGCAGAAGCTCACCTTGCATCAGAATTATATGAACTATTAATGACTTCTGTTAAGAGTTAATGACGTTTCCCAAGATATACATTCAAACATCGTTCAATCTGCTGAGTGAGTAGTGGACCTTTCCATACCACAAAACTCTAATAATGCTTTAGGATTGAAACCAGGCAGCTGGCTCTGTGTGTGTGCACGCGTATGTTGTTTACATAGGGCCACTTTTAGTCATTTGATAGGAGCATAAGATAAATTTTTCAACTAAGGCATTAGGCATTATTGGACATGAAATACCATGACTGTCAGTATATGCCTTTTTTACCAGAGACATTTAATGTCACTGCTCAGAGGAAGAAAGGAAATTATTGGAAAAATATAAGGGCGTGTATTACCTAATATGAGTATGCTCTGCATAGGCATACCACTCACATAAGAGATTAAACAGTTTAAACAAATAATACATTCCCATTTTACAAATAAATTTATCTACCCTAACAAATGACACAATTGCCACTTGTGATAAACATTTTGCTCTAAAGGATGCATGTCCAAAAAATAGAGTAGGTTTAACTTAATTAGTTCTCCATATAAAAGAGGTTTTGCATAAAAAACCACTTACATAGAGCCACCAAGTAATACAGAGAACCACAATAGAATCCTATCGCCCCACACGCATGCCCACATATCCAACACATACTGCACAAATTATTCCCATCCATAATAGCTAGTTTATTTGAGGCTATAAAAGGGCTTAAGTTAGCCAATCATGCATGCAAATTTGGGCACAAATAATTTTATAGAAAAGTATACAAAGAGACCATTTACTTTTAATACAAGGAAGTCACAATAACTCTTGTCCCTGAAATTTCAAGTTGGGTGGCTGTGAGTATGTCAGTGTCTAGACCCAAAGTTCAAAAAAAAAAAAGTATTCCTCGATCTTTGTGAGACACCCCAAGCCATCCAATTTGATATCTAATGGCTAGTAACAATTGTGACCTCCTTGTAACAAATATAATTGGTCTCATAGTATATAATCCTTAATTTTATTTTGTGTAATTCTGTGAAAGATCTATCAAACTCAAAATGATCAGTGCATTTATTTATTTATTAGCAATTTGAATTGCTTGAGAGATTACGTGCTTTTGTGTGTAGACATCAGCAGTCCAGATTTCAGATGTAACATTCGCACATATTGTTGGAACTTCAAGAACAGATGTGGCAGTGAGGCTACTGTGCAGTAAGTTTGTTCCCTGTAACAATATTCATCTAAGTCACATCTCTCTAAAATCTTCAATAGGAAGAAGGGTCTCATCATTGTGCCAGAATGCACAGGGACTAACTCATGGTGCCATGGAACCACCCAGTTGTCTGCTTCAATAGAAGTTCATCTAGTCCCAACATGCTTTTGAGAGCGACAAGAGTTCCATTGATGAAACTTTATTACATTGTTAGATCTCTCTAGATGTGTTTGGGTCCCTCGAATCTTTATTAAAGAGAATCCCACTAAATGTTTCTTATGAACTAGTTCATTGAAAAGATAGCCTACTGTCATCAACCCGTCTCTGCAAGTGTCAGCCAATATTGCAAGGGAAAGGTCAAACTTTACTAAAGATATTCTCTCTTTTCACTCTCTTTTTATTTTGGCAGATAGTCAACATCCGAAATGTTTGATGTTTATATAACATAGATGGCATAAAACAAGATATAGTGATATTTAATACTAATGTTAGCTTTCCACATAAAATAAGGAAAAAAAGACAGTTGGCAAGAATGTTTTTGAGTGTCAAAAAAAGGTGAGAAATCAAGACTGCACGAGTATTGGAGACAGGTTAATCTATAGATCATGATGACATAAATGCAACATAAGAATGATGACAAACCTGATAACACGATTGAGGCAAGAGTTGACAACTACATGAGACATCCGACGTAGTGAGCTTTACTATAACTTTTCTGCAATTGAGGCCATTGCACAAAGAACTGATCTGCCAAATGGAACTTGTAAAGCAGCAAACCACTTAAAGAGAGCTTCCTTACTCGAGCTATGCTCTCCACATAAACAATAGACATCCATCTGATACCAACTACCTGCAATTTATTCCAACTCAAAAGAGTGAGCTTCACGTTTTTCTGTGTTTCTTCAAATTGTGAGCTTCACCTTGAAAATGAATATCACTAAATCAGGACCAGCATTTCATCAGGGTCACAAACATCTCTTACATTTCTAAAATAACCAGCTTGGATTTTTTTTCCTTGATATGGTTACATTCCAAGCCACGCTCGAAATTCATGTTAAACCAACATATACCTGATAAACTCTGCATGCCTTTGAATTTGAAGCAGCTAGCACAGTGAAAATGAAAAGTGAGACATCATATTCTTTAGAAAGAAAGGATGTTGTGCAACATAATCACATATGTATTGTATTACAAGATTTACAAAAACTTAGGTCTTCTAAAGCACACTGCATCAAAGTTAAGACAAATCTATAATATGATCTCCTGTATATATCTAAGAGAACTCAGGCATGTGACAGACCCGGCTGCATAGCTATGACTTCAACTTTTATTTGATATCAACTTAAATAAAATATCAAGTTGTCATATTGATAAACCATAATGGATACATGGCATAGAAATAACCTTAAAAAGGAAGGCAGCAACACAAATAGGTATACAAGTTCCTGGTCCATTGCACAGGACCTGAAAATACAAACCAAGAAGAAAAACATCAGTTTATGAACATAATATCGTGTTGATTTTATTTTTGTAATTATATTTATTGAAAAGAAAAGAAGGACTAAAAGAAAATGTGGATACCATGTCAGGCCTGATTATAAATGTCATCCATAAAGCATGAAGCATAGCAAAAATAGTTGTCCCAATAGAGGTGAAATAGGATTGACCAACTTCTCGACTTCGATAAATTTGCATAAACTGAGCAGCCTCTACCATCTTTCCTACATTAGTCTGAATTACTAGTCAGCATTATGCTGTTTTGGCACTATGTTACACAAAGTAAAAGTAAAAAAATGATGGCAAACAAACAGATCTGCAAGTTAAGCCTCAGTCAAAAAGTCCAAGATAATATAGGGTGGCAAAAGGGCCTGGGTTGTTGGTTCAGACAGTAGAGATCACATAAATATCAAAATGCAAGAAAAAACAAACAGATTTGCAAGTAAAGCCTCAGTAAAAAAGTCCAAGATAATATCGGGCCTGGGTTGTTGGTTAAGATAGTAGAGATCGTAGGAATATTAAAACACATTTTCTTGCCATTGAACGAAATGCATATTAGAGCTTCAATTAACACGTCTTTGTAATACAAATGACTAGATTTAACACAAATTTTAGCCATTCTGATTTATTTGGGGAACCATGATTTCCAAAAGAAGTTTGCATTCAACACTCTACATCAAGGTTCTGAAACACGGCTTGGCCAGTGAACTTTGGCCCTTGTTGAGCCCAGTTACTCAGAGTGGACTCACCTGAGTCCTGCACAGGGCCAAAAGGCCCTAAGAAAATTCAAAAATATCTGAAAAAAAAAAAAAGGATAGAGAAAGCAAAATAAAATAAAAAACAACTTTAAAAAGTTAAAATAAAAGTAGAGAAATTTTGATTTATGGTTTGAGAGACTTTAAAAAAATTCAAAAAAAAAAACATAAAAATAGGGATTATGGCACAAAAAAACCCACCAATCTTTTCCAAAAAAAAAAGAAAAGCAAAATCATATAAAAAAAATTTATACAACATTTCTACATTTTTTTAAAAAAAATAGATTTTTTTTTTTTTCATATGCCCTGAGTTACACACACAACTCGGGGCTACTATAACTCACCCCTAGGGCGAGTCCGAGTGAGCTCGGACGAGTCCTGGAACACTACTCTCATCTGCATAACTTGAATCCCAAAAGGAAATCAACAAGCAATCCAAGAATTTAAAACTCAAATATCAATAAAGAAACAAGCAGCTAATCATCAAACAGTCTAGATATCACATCAACTATCAAACAATGTAATCACCATGGAAGTTTCTCTCTATCTACCTCATAAGAGTAGGATTCTTCCAAAACCCTAGCTTTTTGAAGACTCATATTATCAGTTGCAGCAGCAACATAACATCTAGGATAGAATCTGTCCCTATGAAGAACAGCTACAAGGTTAAGCATTTCAGCTGTGTGACCACCTGCATAATCACAAACTCCAGTCTCAATTATGCTTTTTGTTATATATGAACTCCAATCTCAACTGAACACGTGCAAAATGTAAACATCAGTTTAGCCTATGTTAAAAATTAGCAGTTAGCTGAATACAATAGGAGAGATCCTATCTATCACAATTTTTTGAGAATTTGGCAGTAAATTTTGCCCAAAGAAAATGTGTCCGAGTTATGAATCATGAATCATTGATTTTTCCATTGTTTTATTAGTTTCCAGTTTTGATTCGTAAATATGGTATTAAAACCAAGGGGGGATTCGGCAAACTACAATGTTAAATTCCAATTTTTGTTTTCTTTTTCCCGCAAGCAGCAAAAAAACATAAGTGAAAAAAAGAAGAAGAAAGAATTTCATGATAAACATTTTCCATTAGAAGTTTTTATCAACAAAAATCCATAACCGATGATTTACCCATTTGATTCCCATCCTAGGAGAAATTGAACTATATTATTTGATTTTGGGCTTATTAGGATGATTTCACTGTATATATTAAAATGGCAAATCTTATCAAAATACGCCTAACTTATCAATTATTTAATATTTTACCCATTTTCAACTATTCCAACTCGTGATCATGTGTAATTTTATAGGTTTTTATGAAATTAAATTAAAATGGATAAAAATGTTAGATATTTAATCTCTGAATTGCATTTTGATAAATTTCCCTGTTAAAATTGAGCCATAATTTGTTTAAAAGAGAAACTTGTAAATCGTGAAAACAGTTTAGGGTTTGATAGAGTCTCCAAAATACAAAATCTGATACACTATAATTCATTTGTCCTTAATTCCTAAAAAATTCCCTAAAAAATTCATCAACTACTAGTAATTTGATTCTTCCAAAAACTTGAGATCACACAATTCTTTCATCAGATCTAAAGGGCAAGTCAAAAAATGAATAAAATTAATAAGAAATACAATAAATTGCGGCAAGTGGTACCGGAGCCGAGAACGATGAGAGTCTTGAGGGCCTGCTGTGACGAGCGACGCAGTGGCTTCCCTGTGCACCTTAACACATAGAGGATGCGAAGAATGAGAAGAGTAGAGAGAGAAAGCACGATAATCCAGTCGTTGAGCTTCTTCATTGAGAGAGAGAGAGAGAGGGGAGAGAAAACAATCAAGAGAAAGGAGAGAGCCTGAGGAGGAATGAGAGGGACGATGGAGAATATAAATTTTTAAGTAAAATTACAAACAAAAAAAAAAAAACCTCCAAAACTACACGTTTTACGAAATTTCCTCCCTACCTCAATTCTTCTCTAACATTATTATTATTTTTATTTTTATTTTTATTTTTATTTTTTTCATTTTTTTTATTTTTATTTTTTTTTCAAGATACATTTTCTATACAAATACCCTCAATTTCAAAGGGTAATTTTTTCGGACGAAAATGCCATTCTCGTGAACAAAAAAGCATTTTGAACGGATATTAACGTTGACTTACCGACCCCAGTAGCACATTACCCCGAACTGTAATTTTTTCATTAGTTAGAGTTTAATTAGTTAGAGTTTGACGATCTGCAATGCTATTTCGTAAGCTCAATTCCTATCAATGGTTGGGGCTCTCTCCCAATTGACTCACCCAAAAAAAAAAAAATTTATTTTCAAAATTAATTTCAGATATAGATTTTGGATTCAAAATTGAACTGGTGATCCAAATTTGAAACAAAAACAAAAGATTTGAAAATAGGCAATTTGAAACTTTCTTTTCATATTGCTTTTTGTCATTCATTTTTATTCTTTTAAATATATTTTAATGTAAGGTTTAAATCCATGTTCTTTAGATTCACTATCATGGTGGTTGAGATTATCGATGTGAATTTTTAGAACCAAAATTAGATGGATTTTAGAAGGAAACCACATAACAATGTTATGAATATGGATACCATTAACTTTTTCCATAAAAAAATGACTTTGAATTTTATAGATGGATTATTTAGACCTTGCGATATATTTGATCATTTAGACCTTGCGATATATGGACGTTAAAAAAATGGGTTTCAAGTCTTGAAAATAGGAAATCTTATAACACGTTATTTAGACTGTCGATTTTCAAGATTTTTTAAATGTTTATAGATGTGCTTGATCTATACTATTTTTGAAACTTTAAATTTTATTATTAGTTATGAAAATAAAATTTCAAGCCATCATAAAGATTTTCTATACTGAAAAGGATTCTTTTGACATTATTTAAATATGCACCTCAAATCCATGCCATAAAAATAAAATGGACTCTATGGATTATTATAACTTTACTTCTATCGGTAAAGTTGCAACCTTATAAAAAAATTTTCTGTCTAGGGATCCATTTTGGGACATCAGGTCCATGAAACCTGACCATCACGATCATGAATACAAAGGAGAATGTCCGTTGGTGAGTAGGTTGAGAGTTTGACAATATGCAATGCTATTTCGTAGGCTCAATTCCTACCAAAGGTTGGGGCTCTCTTCCCATTGACTCACCCAAAAAAAAAAAAAAAAAATTTCAAAATTAATTTCAGATATAGATTTTGGATTCAAAATTGAACTGGTGATCCAAATTTGAGACAAAAACAAAAGATTTGAAAATAGGCAATTTGAAACTTTCTTTTCATATTGCTTTTTATCATTCATTTTTATTCTTTTAAATATATTTTAATGTAAGGTTTAAATCCATGTTCTTTAGATTCACTAAGTGGTTGAGATTATCGATGTGAATTTTTAGAACCAAAATTAGATGGATTTTAGAAGGAAACCACATAACAATGATACGAATATGGATACCATAACTTTTTCCATAAAAAAAATGACTTTGGATTTGATAGATGGATTATTTTAAGCTTTGTTTTTGGACCATCCATCACGTATCATATTTTCGAAGTGCTGTAGATTGAGTGACTTAGGATATTTTTCACATCCTAAATATATCTGAGATGGGTTTTTAAGAATGGAGCCACATTGGAATAAGATCTCCTTCAAACTTTTCCTATTTCTAATACCATTAAATTGATCAAACCACCTTAAAAACCAATAAGGTAATTGAATAAACCAATTTATCAAGCTGCTGTTAATGATACTTTTGTTGTTTTTTACTTTTTTTTAAAAAAAAATTGCATAAAAAGACATCCATGATAAGCTTCATGTGAGATAACTAACCCTAAAGAGGGATATTGAGGCCCCGATTGGAGGTCCTAATAGCCATATCTCGATGTTATTTTTATAAGCCATTTCGGGCAACAACGAAAATACTTTTTTTTTTCTTGCCAATTCTGTTGTTTGCAAAACGTGCTATTGCGGACATTTAGCCATTGCTTTTTTGATAAGCAAAAACCCAGACCTCATTTCATGAATCGTATTTATGAATAATGACATGCCAAGTTGACGCATTATCTAATCTAGAGCAACTTTTTTAAATGAACATATTAATATTTTACTAACTTCCGAAAAATAGTACAAGAGAGAAAGAAAAGAAAAAAATACAGAAAAATAAAACGAAGTTAGTGATCACCAACGAGTCATGATGAATGCCACTTTTGACAAGAGAATCATCCTCAGTATTGGATTTTTTAAAGTGTGGCATAACACAACAGACTGCGACAATTGAAACTCTCTAATCTCCATAAACAATGACGTTAACTTTCACGGGACCCAGTTTTCCCTTTTCCCAAACTACAATATTTACATAATCCCCCTCAACAATTTTACCTAATTTAGAGCAACTTTGAGGAAGTTTCATCCCAAATCTCAAAAAATGACGGCATCCAAATTAAACCAAAGTAGTCAACACCTCCCTCTAACCATAGTGCTTATCACAATGAATGATTATTTAGGTGTATAGTTGTGGAATGTGTATTGGTATGACCCGGTCCAAACGCTGGAACGGGACCCGAAGAGTTGAGTTTAGATGCACTTGACCTTAACTTGGCTCTGTTTTGGGTCCTAGTCCATCCTAGACCCTTATTTCGTACGTGGGGACACAATTTTCTATACCCTTATTTCGTACGTGGGGACACAATTTTCTATAGTTTTTACTCAGACCCATCTTGACCCCATATCTCTTGTCTTAGTTATGAAAAGGTTAACTAGGTGTATGTTGTTTGCGGATGACATAGTTTTGATTGATGAGATTATAAATGGTGTCAATACAAAATTAGAACTTTAGAGGGATGCTTTAGAATCTGAATATTTTAAAATTAACCAGATTAAGATAGAATATATAGAATACAATATTAGTAATAATAAGAATAGAAACATGGAACTAGTTAAGATTGATGACTAAAAACACTTAAGAAAGAGTATTTTTTATATCTTGGGTCAATAACCTAGGAAAATGGAAAATTGAGGAAAATGTCACTCATAGAATTAGAGTTAAGTAGGTGAAGTGGAGATGTGCATTTGGAGTTTTATGTGACCGCCGCATGCGAATGAAATTGAAAGAGAAGTTCTATATGACAGCTATGAAACGAACTTTACTTTGATGGGGGCAGAATGTTGTGCAGTCAATAAATAACATACTCATAGGATGGGTGATATTGAGATGAAGTGTTGAGATGAATGAGTGGCAAGACAATAAATGATATAATTCGAAATGAATATGTTCGAGAGAACTTAGGTGTAGCTTCGATAGATGATAAGATGAGTTAAAGTAAAATTAAGTGAGCCAGCAATGTGCAATGTAGACCCAATATAGCACCGATAAGAGGTACAATTTGGTTCAGATAGAAGGCTCTAAAAATGTAAAAAGATTACCCAAAAGGACATAGATGAAAGTAGTGAGAAAAAATATGAGGATTTATAGTTTTATTAAGGGTATGACTAGAGGAAAATATCGAAATATGATTCATATAGCTGACCCCAAATAATTGGAATAGCGTTATAATGATGATAACCCGTCTTGATCTCATTGGTCTCTCTTGGATCCATCTAGAGTCGTAAGTAGGCATATCAACTTATATTGATTGCTGTCTAATAATAACATATACAGTAATTTGTGAAAGCTCAAACTCTGTCATTAAATATATAATGCAACAATGGGACACCAACCTGATACGCTATAAAGTAGGGGTTGCCATACAAAGTTTTATTCGTAATTTTTGTTTTCAAATTCAATTGCATATGGACGCAGTTTTGTAAAAAATGTGGTTGCATAAGTTTGCAATCTTAAACAATCAAATTAAGGTGCATGTTCAAACTTTGTCACGCGATGCAATTTTGGTGTCTAAAAGTCTTAAGATGGAGAGACAATCTATTTTTATTTTTAATTATAAATATTTGAACTCCAAAAATAGTTTAAATCAAGCAAATTTATAAATACGTAAAAATCTTGAAAATAGACTATCAGATAATGTATTGCAAGATGCACTATTTTTTATACTCAAAATATTTTTTTTTTTTCATATTCATACATTTCGATATTGATACGATCAATTAGAGAGTTTTCCAACTTCAAAACAACCGTTTATAATGACTTAATGGATTTTTTAGGTACACCCTATTTCCTCTTGGTAAATAGAGGGATATGAATGTTTGTATATCGAAGTTGATATAAGTCAGTAACACTGAGGTAACCCATTTTTTATTTTGGGAAATTCATCAAAAGATACCCCTGATATTAGACCTACTTAATATTTTATCCCGGTGTATTTTGATAAAATTTTAATGGGTGCGATTTCTATAAAGTTGCAACCTTAAACAATCCAATCAAATTTTATCATAACATATAATTTTGTTGTAAAAAACTATTAGGATTATCTTAAAATCTATTTTCATATCTAATTAAAAAAATTTAAACTCAAAAAATGGTTAAAATCAAAGAGATCTATAAACATATTGAAATAGTGAAAATAGACGGTCTAAATAATGTGTTGCAAGATGTACTATTTCAGATATTCAAAAATTCTTTTTTTATATATTCATACATCTGGATGTGGAGATGATCAAATAGAGAGTTTTTCAACATTAAAACGGCCTTTCTTATAAATTTTTGAGATGCATCTATATTCTACATTTTAAAGTTGCAACCTTATATAAACTTTTCCCATTTTTAATTAAAGGGTTTGTATACTATACGACCATTTATCTTTATCAATGAGATCACAATTATTTTTAATAATTAGATATTGAATTGGATGGCTTACCGTGATCCAGACTTTCTTTTTTTTTTACTTAAGAGTCTACCACTTATAATCTTGCTTTTTTTTAAAAAAATAAATAAATTAAATAATAGATAAGATGTTAAATATACTGATTTATTTTGGGTGAAAATGTTAAAGAAAAATTGTTTCATGCAAGCTGGACCGCATTTCTACATTATGCACTCCCCAAAGATGGATGCAAATAGGTGGTCTATTTAAAAACAATTGAAACTAACGACATTAGAGATTATCATGTCCTTAAAAATTGGTCCAAAAATCCATCTCACAAATAAATTTGTAAGAGTCTTGGCTCATTTCTACATGGACTCATAGAAACGTGTCCATATATTAATATATAGGGTGCAGTTTCTATAAAGTTGCAACCTTAAGCAATCCAATTAAAACGCACCTCCAAATTTTATCATAACATGTAATTTTGTTGTAAAAAATTCTTAAGATTATCTTAAAATCTATTTTTATATCTAATTAGAAATTCTTAAACTCTAAAATCAAAGAGATCTATAGACATATGAAAATCTTGAAAATAAACAGCCTAGATAATGTGTTGCAAGACGCACTATTTATGAGACTTACAAACTTTTTTTATATGTTCATACATTTAAATGTATGAGATGTTCAGATAAAGGGTTTTTCAACCTTAAAACAGCCGATTTTTTAGGTGCATCATATAAACTTTTCCCTAATATATTTACTGGTGTACTTTCGATAAACCTCCCTTTTACTTTTCTCTTTTGGATTTTTTTTTGTTTTGACCTTCAATCCAATGTTTATGTAAAATGTGAAAAGAAAATTGAAGATTGATTTTCTCGATAAGTGAGAGAAAATAGATTAAGTCTAATTGTTGGATTTAAACGTGTTAATTTCTCATTTAAAAGCTCAGTTGATTTTTCGACAGAATCAATACCATTAGCTCTCTCTCCTCTGTTAATTTCTCAACATCTATCTCTGCTAAATTTTAAATGCCATTAGCTGTATCGGTCTCTCTCAAGTTTGTGAATTTCGTTTAAACTGCGTATCTCTATTTCTCTCTCTAAACATGTAGAATTCTGCAAAATCTCACTCTCTCTATAACGAAGAAGAATTCTCCAAAACAAAAGTGGCACCTTTGAAACTTTGAGAATACCAGGAATGTACCTCTTTCTCTCTCCCTCTGAATCTCATTTCTCAGTGCCATTAGCTGTATCTCTGCGTCTCACTCTCTCTCTCTCTCTCTCTAAAGATGTAGAATTATGTATAAAAAAGAAAAAAAAAGGGTTAAATTTCTCAATCTGTCTCTCTCTAAAGATGCAGAATTGTGTAAAAATTTCTCACAATATGAAGTGCTTCATCTCATTCTCACACTTCAAATAATCTTTAGCTCAACCCAATCGCCAATACACAGACTATTTTCTTATCTTCAGACCTGTAAAAAGTAAACACACCATATCCCCATAAACCCTAAAATTGCGCTATGATATCCCCAAAAAAAGACAGAGAAAATAAACTAAATTCCCAACAAAAAAGATAGAAACCCTAGATAATATAACAGGGCCTAGCAAGCAAACCCTGGATCAGCAATTATCAAACTCAAATACGTATAAATACAAACCCTAGAATCCAAGTTATAAGACAAATATTAAGATAAAAGTTCAATTTTTCATGCGCAACCACAGGAACTACCATAGAGTATCTCCTCTTCACCGATTCCTCTGAAGAGAATATAGCCGATTCCAAGCCCTAAAACCACTGCTATGAAAACACCGCCATTAAAGGACATCACAGCGAGCATGAGCATGTAGCCTATGGCTGAATTGAGAGAGAAGAGGAAAGCGGAGCCGATCCTCCCGAGAGTGAGCTTCGATGGAACCCCAGATCTAAGCAGAGGGGCATCAGTTGCAGAGGAATACGAGGTCTTTGAAACGTAAGAGATCTTGAGGCGGAGGCGCTTGTCTTCCATGTACTGGTAAAATGAGGCAAGGATGAAGCACGCGAGGAGAGAGAGGGAGTAGCTCCCCCATGAATTGGTTTTCCATCCATCGAAGAGGATGGTCACCTGTTTTCCCCAATAGAAGGTCATGTGCATCATCTTTGAAGCAAGAGAGAGAGAGAGAGAGAGAGAGAGAGAAGAAAGTGGCGGTATTGGAGGATAAAAGAGAGAGAGAGGAAGAAAATGGCGGATTTGGAGGATCAAAAGAGAGAGAGAGAAGAATTAATGGCGGAATTGAAGGATCAAGAGAGAGAGAGAGAGAGGATTTCCAGGCCTCAGCAATGGCGAACTGGAAATGGAGGTCAGAAATGGATAATAAAGCCTTTCCAGAAAGAAAATAATATCCGAGTAATGACAAAACTACCCCTACCAAACTATCAATGTCTCGCCCTTACTAAGGAGAAAGTCCCCTAGAGAGAAAAGAATATTAAAAATAACGAAATTGCCCCTAACGAATCCCTAAACGTTTTAAACACTCAACTTCTAACATCTCTCTCATTCTTAAGCACCTTTCCTTTCGTTGTTTGAAGGGCCAGCAGTCTCTTCATTTACAGGCGTTTTAATTGATTTTTAAAATCTTCAAGAAAAGCACATTTCATCATTGTGATCCTCAAAACTTTGTTCCAACTAATTTAGATCGACCAAAGGACACATTTTAAATTTAAAAATTTTATTTTTTTATATTGATGATCACTATGGATCATGAATGTTTTAAAATTCAGATAAAAAATCCATCTTTAAAATGGACTGTAAAAGGGGAATGATGTGTATATGAGTTGGCAGACTCATAAAAACGAATCCCTTCAATTTTTAGGTATGTACAATATTAGAGTATGTATATTTATATTGATATATATCATTATGAATATATATATATATATATATGGGGCCATATGGGTATGTATCTCTCTTAATTAGATGTCTCTTGATTATGATAAGATTACTTAGTAGTTATCTATAATCGTTGGTATTTATCTTTAATTGTTAAAGGTCGGGTCTTGTATATTCTTTATTAATTAATCAATATTCTTTATTAATTAATCAATAAAAGAGAGTTCTCTGCTGTGTTTTGAAATAATCTTCCATTGGGCCTAAAGCCTAGTTCTTAACATGGTATCAGAGCAGGTTCTCTAGTTCTTAACATGGTATCGGACCATGGTATCAAAGCAGGTTCTCTCTAATCTTTTTTGAGCCTTTGGTTCTTAACATGGTATCAGAGCAGGTTCTCTCTGATCTTCTTTGGGCCTTTGGGTCTTCTATTCTTAACATGATATCAAAGCAGGTTCTCTATGATCTTCTTTGGGCATTCTGTGATCAGCGCTTGGGCCTTCTTTGCGATATATGTATTCTTTGCAATCGACAATATATGTGTTATTTGCAATCTATGAAATATCTGTTTCGCCTCTCTAGTTTGAGATCCCGATAAACCACACCTTGGAGATGATAGAACGCAACCACACTTATGATTTGGACCATGACAAACTTTGCATCATCTTCTGATTATTTTCCACCCCTCACCAATATTCAATCGAAAAGCTCCCCTCCTTTGCACAACTCCATCACTCCATCACTTAGTCATGGTCTTCATAGACATCATAAAATTGCACCAAATTCTTATGCCTTGAAAGGGCCCTCAAAATTTTCACTTCTCTTCTTACATTCTCAATGGCTATGGTTATCGTCATCTTTGATTTGGGGACGATCTTAACAGCCACCTCCCTACACTTCAGCTCCCCTTTCTTCACATTCGCCAAACAAGTATAGCAAAAATGCCCCCACCCAATTTCCTCCCCAGTCTCATTATTTGTTTTAAAATGCTTCAAGAACCCAAAGATTTTATCCAACCCCAGTTTCGCCTCTCACGCTTCTTTGATCTCTATATGTTTTTTTGCGACCTACCTGGACATCTCTATTTGGTCTTCTGCGACCTACCCGGACTTCTCTGATCGCTGTTTGGTTCTTGAGGTAAACCATTGATGTCGTGCTCCCTGTTGGGTTCCTGCGGTAACGGAGGTCTTCTGCGACCTACCGAACTTATCTGTAAAACAGCCTTTCTCATTGTTCTGACCTGTGTTCTAGACTGTGAGTTGTTGAATCTATCTCGATTCCTGACTGAGTTCCCTTAGCTCTTCTAAGAGACCACTACTTCCTTTCGGTTCCTTACTAAGTTCTCTTAGCTCTTCCAAGCGACCACTACTTCCTCTGTGCTTCTTCTTCAAGCAAGAGAACACTTCTTATTCAAGCAAGAGACCATTGTTTCTTCTGTACTTCTTCTTCAAGCAAGATACCACTGCTTCTATTGGTCACGTCATGCACGTGAAGACTTAAAGATCCAACTCGTTTGTCTATGCAATTTTTATAAAAGCATCATGAGTTTGAGGGAGAGTATTAGAATATGTATATCTATATTGATATGCATCATTATTAATATATATTGAATATATATATATCATCTCTTGATTATATGGGTATATATCTTGAAGGTCATATGGGTATATATATCTTAATTAGGTGTCTCTTGATTATAATAAGATTAGTTAGTAGTTAATCGTAACCGTTGATATTTATCTTTAATTGTTTCTGACCGTATATTTATGCTTGTATATTTTTTTATTAATCAATCAATAAAAAGAGAATTTTTTGCAGTATTCTGAAATAATCTTTCATAGAGTCTTAAGGCCCAAATATAAAGAAATACAGTTATTAACATACAATCACCAAAATGGAGATTTTTAATAAAAAATTTTAAAAAATAATAATAAATTTTTGAAAATTAAACTCGTGTGGAAATAAAAATAAATGGTCTGTGACAAGCCCTTAAATTTAACACGTCCTTAGAAACGAATTTTCCTAATTGTGATGATACCCTTTGTAATGTACTTTTCATAGATCGTACACTTCTGTACTAAAAGAAAAAGTAACCACTAGAGGACACTGTGCGGTACTAAAGCGTACTGTACAAGAAAACACCACTGTACCACAAATGGAAATGCTATTTTGGGGCGATCATCTAATGAGCCAGGCTCTTTGGGAGTTAGATGAGCTGGTTAATCTTAACCATCCTTTTCTTTCTAAAGAAATGTCAGCTAATCTTGAACCTTGTCACATGCCACGAGAATGATATGTACAGTCAAGGAAAAAATGTTAAGGAGTCAATCTTGTATTATAAATAGGGGTGGCAATGGACCCCCACCCAGCCCAGGACCCAAGGGGTAGACCCCATGGGAGTTCGGGTATAGGTCCAACAATTGGATCCTGCAGGTCAGGTCTCGATCCAAATCTTGTGTCTCGATCCAAATCTTGGACTTGAACACTATCCAGGTCTGGGTCTGATTATATTTTTTGGGTCTCGATAAATGAAGTATATTTAAATATAGTTATATGCATAGATACTTTCATTTTTGGGTCGGGTCTGGGTCTGGGTCCGGGTCCCGGTTTAGGTCTGCTGAAACGGGATCTGGGTCCCATATCATTTTTCGGGTCTAGGCCGACCCGTTGCCACCCATAACTATAAAGGTAAGACTGACCTCTTCAAACCATTGGAAAAACACTTTCTGACATTGAAAACCCCTTCAATCGAGTAGCTTGACCTTGAGATGTATAGTTACGAAGAAAGATTTTAAGTACTAAAAATTAACGCATCTTGTAAGACATTATAAAAGGTTTTCAAATGTTCACAGATCTACATAATCCGCATGATTTTCGGAGCTTGAAATTTCATAATAAGGGTTGCTAGACTTTTAAACCATCATAGGAGTTTCAGCACACTGGGACTGCATCTTCTGGTACTGTTTGTGGAAGTCTTTTACTTTGATTATTTCAGTTTGACAGCTTATATAAACCACACCCATGACTAAATCCCACCAACTCAAAACACTCAAAGATACCTATGGCTGATCTAATCCTCAAATGGGCCTGATTCATTTGATTATTTTGCAAATTCTATTAAACCCAGTTGCATGATAATTTGGAGACCCTATACAATTCGTCGAGTATAAAAGGGCTAAAAACATATCACCCAGTGGGATGAGAATAATTATTCATCCCTCTGCGCAAATTCAAGACAATGCTTTTGCAGACCTTCAGCTATCGATAGATCCTGGTTGTCTAATAGCACATGCGATCGCTTGGGGTGAAAGCTCCACAGTCAATGATAGACCCTGGCCGTTTGATTTTATTTACTTTTTTAAATCAAAGGTAAATGGTCTCATTGCATACTTTCCCTAATTTATATGCTCTTGGTGTCAACCCATTGGAGATCCAACAAAACACAAGTTGCCCTGATTTAAGCAACTGGTGAGAGTGAGACCCACACTGGCTGATTCAATCACCAGTTCACCACAAAGATGCCACTTAAGAGGACTATCTTTTCATGTTTTGTCTTTGTATTGTTCACAAGGGGCACTTCTATCAATTGCACAAATGTTCTTGTATAAATAGGATGTAATCTCTCATTCTCAGTAAGTGAAGCCCATAACAACTGTTCAATCTCATAAGATTAGCGACCAAATGACACATTAATAATAGAGACATATCTAACAAGGTCAGCAACCAATAGAATCCCAATCTGGCTACAATATCCATTTGTCAATGGTTTTGGTGAATAAATTTTTGCCTTCTCTATTTGCCGTATATTCATAAGGCTTGGAGTTAAAAATAGAAGTCCCTGCATATGCATCATACAGTTGTTTGGGAAACCATTGTTGTTTTCTATAGTGTAAAAACCAGTGAACTTATTCCATGTCAGAAAAATAGCCCAAGCCCACTCAAGTCCTTCAGTAGGAAAGTTTACAAGTGAGAATTCCAGATACATCCAAGTTTTTTCTTATACACATATACTTCAGATATATGAAAAGCAGGCAATGGCTTTATTTAGATTTTCAAAAATTTGAATATTTTAATTTTGTTTTGTCAAATAGACCCCAAATGATGTTTCCCAATGTGGTAGAATTGTTGCATGACATACTAACTAGGTGGTCTCAAATCCCATTACAAATATTTTCGGTTCTTCTCAAAATTTTCAAACACAGTTTGAGAAACTTGTGAAGTTTTTAGTCCAGTTGGTTTCTGATATGACTGAGTCGGCCGCCAAGTTTCAGTTTTTTAAAACTGGGCAAAACTAAGGCATCGGAGTCATTTGTCTCCCGATATTGGTATGTAAGCCTTAGAGGCCTTTCTAGTCAATCCAAACACAGTAACAAAGTCTAGCCCAATCAATTTAGACCCACAAGCCACAAGAAGAAAAAATTCACCTCAATAAATAACATTAATTATCGGAAGGTCCAAAATGCCTAACACCCCACACCCAACAAGAACATAGCTTTGAGCAAGACTTGGAACCCATAAATGCTTTAGTAACAACAGTAAGCATCATTGGAGGTTTGAGAATTCGACAAATTAAGCATGTTGTGCATGCCCACCACAAAAAGTAAGTGTTTCAACTTACAGTAGTTCAGAAGTAAACAACTGGTTTATATACGTACGGTACATAAAAAACATTTGAGGAAACAGACCTATGCATGATATCAAAATCTAATTCATATGTTTCTGGAATAATGACATATACAAAGTCTGCACTTTGGTGTATCTTACAAAGAATACAAATACATTACCAATGAGGAAAAAAAAATTGGGGAAATCAATGGCCCTGCCAGTTTTGGTAATTATCAGTGACTAACCTTGGCAACAATAGCTCTGAAGATATAGGAAATTTATCCAAATTGATCAGTAAATTTCTGCAAGATCTGTTTTACAGAATAATAAGCATTTTCTGCTTGAGAGAATACTAAAAGGGCTGGCAGTATTATTTTATAAACTAGACTAAATTCCCAATACTCGTTGAGATTTTTCAGACATCATGCTTCATGTTCGTCCAGAACTACAACCATCACATGCACTCAAGTTCCTATTTCATTATGCAGTAATATCCAGAGTCCGGACTAAATGAAACAATAATTTTTTAGTACAATCATAAGCTTTGAGACTTGGTTGTCAACTCATGAGGATCATCAATAAATAAATTACTCTTTGCCGACAATGACTACATAGGTGATTCAAAACATATGAAGACATCCAATAAAATTGGAATGATACAGAGAAGATTAGCATGGTCCCTGCGCAAAGATGACACACAAACCAAGAAATGGTCCAAATTTTATCATAGTAACTAAAAAAACATATGGAATATGACTGAAACAAAGTATCTAAGCAATGTACACAATAGTAATTCTACTGGTGGGAATATATAAGCAATGGTTGAAAATATATTTAATCGCAGTTAATTCTTACTATTAATCTGGATGATTTATGAATGGTCTCAAAAACATTTTCTTACAGATTCTACTTGAACTAATGACACAGAAAACTGTTCATAGTCATATACGTTCCCACATGCACATGATCTCTGACCACATAATACACTATATCAAACTTACAATTGATAATCACCATTTTTAATCCAATATATTACAATCAAGGTCAATACAAATCAGTTGCTGACATAACCCCAGCAACATTGCCGACCCTGACAATAAGGAAAAGTACATAGAGCAATATAAGACCGATTCCCAATAGCCTGTTCGGGCGCATGTCATTCCTTAGCAAAATAATGAGGGCCCAAGAGAGCCCAGACATTAGAAATCCCAGAGTATAGAACAGGCTGCTATCTTTTGGAATGATGTATGGTGCAGGCCTACTTGACAAGGTACTAAGCAACATTGAAGCCCCCAACCCGATAAGTGTATTAAACATTGGCCCTGCATAGCATCCCGAGAGAGCAATTTGAACACCATCTCCACCATTCATGGCCAAAACAACATTCGACATCAAATCACCCATTGAATTACCCCATGCCAATAAAGTCACTGCAAGGATCGAGGGGTTAATTCCCAAAATCACCCCCAATGCAACAAGGAGAGCTACGAGCTCATTAGCAATGATGTAGAACCAAACGATGCTCATAACAAACCCTCCACAAACCCAGGGAAACAGAAACTTACGAGGAGGGTGCCCTGAATTGGTAAAGAAAAATGCCAAAGTTCCAAATGTGGCCCCCAGAACAACCCCAATCACATAGACAAGCTTTCCAGTACCTGAGAGAGGAGTTTCTTGGGCATTCCAGAGCAGAGCAAGAAGAATCGGACTCCATGTGGCACTTGCAATAGCATAGTTTTTTGACCATCTCTCTTCCTCGACAATGGGTATTGTCAATCTTCTTGGCAAGGTTAATGGGAACTCGAGCACATATAAAAGTATTTTCGAACAAGACAACCTCGAATCCTCATCTTCCCCATCTTCACTCCATCCCCAAAGAGGCCTTGGCTTGTCAATCACACTCTTGATCATCTGGTTAGAATATATAGCAACATTCGAAGCCCACATCCATTGAGGCAAAGTGGCTCGAATATGGGCTGCTTCAGAAGGGAAATCTCCATCTACTTCCATATCCAACAAAGAGGTATAAGAAGAATCATCCTCTCCAGTACCAAATATGCTTCCCCTTAGAGGAAGCAAAGGCATAACCACATCTAACCTCAAACGCCGAGCATGTTTCCTCAGTATTTCATTTGCAGCCACAAAAAATGCATAGAGGACGTATATTGAAAGAAACACAATTGCACCCCAAATGCTCACCTTACCCACGAGCAAAATTACAGAAAGTGAAACAAGTGTAAAAAGGTAAAAACCCACATCACGGATGAAGCATTGACGATCTATCCGCGCTTGTGTCCCAGCGACACAAAGAGAAACAGTTCCTGCAACTATACAAATGACAAAAACGCCCCCACCAAGAACACTATTCAAACCCACCTCACCAGCTCCTGAACCCACAAAGGCAGCTATGCTGGCAAATACATCAGGTGCCCCATTTCCAAGAGGAAGAAGAGAGACCCCTGCAACTGTTGGAGCGAGCTTTAATAGCCTCGAAAGCTTCTCTAAGGAGCAGCAGAAGTAATCAGCTGCTGTGTTACCCAACATATAGAACAAGGCCAAAAGCCATACACCAAGAACTGTATAGCCAAACCATGGCCAATTCTCACAGGTACAGTAAAAAAATGTCAAGTATTCAAAGAACCCACCTGATAGGCATTGATTATGAGACCTTAGAAACTCACATTGGCTCTTATATCCATGATGTTCAGCCAAGCCTGTGCATCCTGAGATGATCTCAACCTCCAAATTATTGGTGATTTCAAACGAAGATGAATTTAACGTGTTATTGGGAGTTATTTCCAGAGCTCTCCCATTATTTTCTTGAAGATGGCGATTTCTCAATGAATTTCTCTCTCCATGAATGCTTTCTAATCTAATTTGATCCGATTTCTCGAATCTTTGAACTTTTGAAATCTCAATTCTATTGCTACTTTGACTCCATGGTGACGAAATTATCAAAGACTGGCGTCTGAGAAACATTGGATTTTTCACTACATCTTCCTGGTTGTAAAAGTAAACTAACAAGACTAGGGCACAAGATATGTTGAAAATTCTACGAAAACAGGACCCAAGGCGAGCTCCCATGTCTCAAACACTAGAACTCCAAAGAATCAGAAATTGAAGAAATCCAAGGCTGCCAAAAAGGAGAAAATAGACGGAGGAAACGTAGCTTGAACCCTGCAAATTCCCTCATATCATGACATGATTCTGGGCCCTAATTTGAGAACGAACAAAGAAACCCTAGAACATCATATAGCCATGGACTATAGATAAACACTTACGGAAAAAGAAGCAGTCTTTCAATAGTTAGGTCATTAAGCTTTCGCCGATTCAATCTGAGAAGAAGTAATACGGGGTAAAAGTGAGCTAAGAATTGCGAATTGTACCTTGACTGGTTGTTACAGAAAGGGGAAGGTTCGCAGTGGCTTCTCTGGTAAACCAATTGACATGTCTCTCTCTACATTCTCTTACTTCAAATCTCTCTCTTTCCACGTATATTTCTGTCCCCCTGTAGAGTTACCCCTCTCTCACTCTCTCTCTCTCTCTCTCTAGGTTGCAGAAGAAGAATAGAGAGAGAAAATGAAGAGACCATGGCTATGCGAAATTTTGTATCAGCCCCTCTGATTAGGAGAGGAAAAGTTACAGTACGCCTCGTGATCACGAGAATATCTAGTCATGAGATTTGCCACCGTCCTTTTGAGAGGTTACATGGAGTCTAAGGATGTGCTGCTCCTGTGGGAGCCTACTGTCCATTTACGCCCTCCGGTAAATCTAAAGGTTAAGAGAGGAAGATCTACCAATGCCTCAACATTACTGTTACTATGTATTTCATGTGTCATTAGAATTACAGTATGAGTCACCGGATTTTATTTTGGATTGTTTAAAAAAATAGAAAGTTTATATAGAGCCAAAGCTATAAACAATCAAATTAGTGCCTATCTCAAAATTTTCACCAGAAGATGTTGTTTTGATACCCAAATATCTTCAAATTGATCACCTTGACATCAAGATGCATGGGTTGTTTTGATACCCAAATATCTTCAAATTGATCACCTTGACATCAAGATGCATGGATATGAGAACAAATAAATAAATAAATTCAAATTTGGGAAATACTACATCTTGTAACGCATGTTTTGACCATCAATTTTCAAGATTTCATAGATCTACTCGATCTACACTATTTTTTAGGCTTTAAATTTTATAATTAATTATGAAAATATATTTTAAGGCTATTACAAAGATTTCCAGTATTATAACCATATTTCTCGCTATTATTTGAAGGTAGGCTTTACTTTGATTGTTTAGAACCTCGGCTCTATACAAACCGCACGCTTTAAAAAACTCATAATTTTTTATCTGAAAATTATTATCATACGATGATCTGAAAATTATCACTTAAATGTAGGGGTGGCAACAGGCCAGCCAGACCCGAACCCGAACCTAATTGGACCCCATAAAAAGAAAAAAAAAGATTTACATATTTAATTATATTTAACAGTATTTTATATATTGCGACACAAAAAATATTACCGGTCCTTAATAGTGTTCGGGTCCAAATATGGGTCCAATATTTGGCCCCGAACACAACCCACCGAGTCCAAGTTTTTGACCCATATCTAAAGGCGGATCTGGTCTACCCCTTGAGTCCCGGGTCGAATCCAGGTCCATTGCCACCCCTAAAATGTTATACCTTTCCCATCACCATCCAAGCCTTGATGATTACTAAGAGTACATATTCCATTTGGTCATGAGAACTACAATATGACTTACTAGACTTCATTTTTTATAATTTTAAAAATTATTAGTTGTTACTAAAAATCACTTAAATTGTCAAACAACACTGCAGTTAAAGGAGGTGAAATCATCACATTGGAAAAAGTTAAGTTTCATTTACTTATGTACTTCTTTAAAAGAAAAAAGTTAAAAAGTAATGAAAACACTTCTATTTAATAAAATCATAAACAAGCAAGGGTGTTTTAATTATGGAATTGTCTACAAGTCGACCGTTTATCGTTTGGGTGCGGTTTGATTGAACAATCAAATTAGAGCATACCTTCAAATAGTGTCGATAAATGTTGTTTTAATATTGAACATCTTTGTGGTAGCCTTACAATATATTTTTATCTTTATTTATAAAGTTTAAAGCTTTAAAAATAGTGTATATCGCTAGATCTATGAAAACTTGAAAATCTTGAAAATTGACTGTCAAAAAATATGTTACAAAATACACTATTTCTAAAATCTGAAATCCATTTTTTTCTTATGTAAATGCATCTTGATGTCGAGGTGATCAATTTGAAGATATTTGGGCATCAAAATAATGTCTTCTGATGAAAATTTTGATGTAGGCTCCGATTGATTGTTTAGAGCCTTGGCTCTATACAAACTTTTATCTTTATGCTTTGTACAAGGAGGTCACAAATCATTTCCACTCATTAAATATCAAATTGGATGGTATCGAGTGAGTCACAAAGTCTGAATTTTTTTTTTTGAACTTTATGTCTATTCAATGACACTCTTACAACCACTCATTCCGAAATTTAAGGGACAATAATGATTGTGACATTTATGTATAAAAGATAAATAGCCCCAAAGCCAAATTGTGCGAATACACATTTTGGTCCAAAATTAGTAAAACAAGACAGATTTATAAAACTTTCATGTTACCGGCTCTGAACAACTGGGAGTACAATTATTATTTGCTTAGTCCTTGATTCAAGATCTAGATGATAATCCCCATCATTATCTAGACTTAATAACAAATAGCCAAGATTTAATAAAAGTAATGTTTTGTTAATTGTGGACAAGAGGATAAAAACATCATTTTTCTGTAAAATATTTTAAATGATATTGACATCTCTTATGCTATGAGCATGGTTGATGTCAGGCCTTAGGAAGTTGTTTTTGAGTCTGGTGAAGCAATGAGTGATCCATTGCATATTGGTTTGATAGCTTGGCTTGCCGTTTTCTGAATAAATTAGGCTCTGGAAAACAGGGAGCCTAAGGGGGGCCTGAAAACTGAAACTTTTATTTGAATTCCCCACACTTAAATAGGTAGGGGTGGCAATGGACCTGGACCCAACCTGGGACCCGACATTCAAACTTAGTATGGGTCCGGGTTCATGTGGACTTGATCCGAATAGTATTATTATATTTAATAATATTTAATAAATATAATTATATATTTTTAATTAACATATTTAAATAATACGTATATATATATTTTTTTATTTTTTTATTTGGTCAGGTCCGGGTCCGGCCGGACCCGACCAATTGCCAACCTAAAATCAGGCTTTTATTTTCCCCTTATTTTTCCTCTTTTTTATTTATAATATCCAAATCCTACCCATCTCCAATAAATAAATCAACCCCTCCTTTTATATTGGCCATGCCGTCAATTTAATATTTCCAAAATCCAATCTTTTTCCACATATCAAACATTATCCATTTGAATTGAACACAAAACGATAAAACAATTGTTTGTCATCTTCTTTGTTTTGTTCTTTGGAAGAAGGTGGACCTCCACCCAGGCTTGGTCTAGGAGATCAAAGAGAATGGTGGGTGGAGAGGGTACATAAAGAGTCATTTGTCCTCTTTCATCCATCCAACCGATCCTCTAAGATTAAGGGTGCAGATTGAGCCCCAATTTAACTTATATCGACATACTTGTGATATAACAATTCATCGTTTGTTTCGTAGGGAATTTCTTTCGAATAATAGGGGTGGCAATAGGCCAGGTTGTCCAGCCTAGGTCCTAAAAAACTAGGCTTCGGCTACAAAATATAGCTCAAGGGCCGGGTCACTATAGCCCAAGGGCTAAGACTAGCCCTATGGGGACAAGACCTAGGGTTGCCCCGGTCCGTTGACAACCCTATCCAAGAAAGATGGCAAATCCCCTTTCCATTTTTGGTAAATAGGAAAGTGGGATTTATGTGAAAATGCATTATGTAAAGCGCTTCATCAACGCCATTTGGGACAAAGTTATAAGATGTGGCAAAATTTTATACTAGCTGCCTACCAAACACAATTCACTTTTTTTATCCGATTTAAGATGAGTTAAGAGAAAATTTTAAAGTCTTCATCTGTATTTGACCAACTTAATAAATTATGAGTGTTTTGGTCAATTTTTTTTAAAGAAGTCTTTAATCTAAAACTAGATGCATTGTTAAGTCCATAACTGCTTATCTGGTTGAGATGAATAGTTTCCAGCACTACTCTCAAGATCATATTAGGCATCAAATTGGTGATGGGCCTAGTTCAGAAAAAATTGGTTGATTGCTAATCAAAGAAAATTTAAAATAATAGTTTAGAATGTAAAACATATTAAAAAATACCAAACTTTATTCAACTGGTCGAACTAGTCAAAATCATGTACCAGTTAAACATTAATTTTGATTATTTTTTGACGAAACTTTAAGCAGACCAGCTAAGACATCAGTCAATGTCCAACTGGTTGATCCGCCTTGTTCTTGATAATTATGGCAATTAACTTATCTCTCGTATATGGATTCATCTCCACCGCCGGACTCCAAAACCAATAACGCGATGCAAGAAATTGTATAATTATAAAGATCAGCTTGTCCTATGTCTTTCCCAGTTTGATTCAAAGGCGAAGTTTAATAGAAAATATGTCAAACCAATATTTGACTCATTTTACCGGTCAAATCTACGAAAGGATGCCAACTAAACAAGATACTTTTACTATCTTTTTTTATTTTTAAAAATTCCAATTTGATTAACTCAATAGCTTAGGTTTTTATGCTCCTAACTTATTCGATAGCCAGATATTAGAAACATCGGTAAGATGTGTATAATTTGGGTGCAGTTGGCATACGGATGCATCCGTAGCTCTAGAGATAAGATACACCTTCAAATTTTTATCATGGTATATAATTTTGATG